TAGAACAACAGCAATTAAGATGATGTTACATGTTCCTCAAAACCTCCCGATCAGAGGTCTTGCTGCCGGATGTAGTTTATCGTCATACCCAGGACTACAACGCTACAGTATTTTTTGTTAACACCTCTTTTTGTTATTTTTTTCTTTTATATGACTTGTTTTTAACATGTTTGCTTTTGTCGCTCTAATAACATTTTAGCCCCCCCCCCTACCGCCGACCCGCGAAAATGTAACAAAAATAACATGGATATGAGATTATTTTATTTATCTATCTCTATACGAAGGCAAATTTGACACCGGGTCTGTTTAATATGCGCCTTCCATGCGTAGATAATGTTGGGACGTATCTGTTTTCGTACAAGGACAAATTTGAAACAAAGTCAGTTTAATGTATGTCCCCGACTTCACACACATGGGAGTTGAAATAAAAATTGCGCAGGCTCTCACGGCATTTCTCAGATGGGACGCTTCAGGCATCAGGGAAAAGCACCGAAACTCCCGCTTTTGAAGTAAGGAGAGAGGTGCTGTTTAGGCATATCATATTTCTTATCAACCCAACCTCTAATTTTCGGGGTTGCATTATACACGAGACTATTGTACATGAAATTCGCCAACTAGAACTACTTAAATTGACTAGTCCGTTCGTAAAAAATCGGAAACGTTTCGACCGTTGTACGCGTCGGCCTTCTTCAGGTGATATTACTTGGAATTTCAAACTGAACCGTTTATTTAATCCACGCGGGTAGATTGTTCTAATTCCACGATGGGGTTTGGTAACTATTTACACTATTTACATGTTTCGTACTGCTGTCCTTATCTTAACTGCCATCTTCACGACGTTTCTGTCGTTTTACGCTCCGGCCTTCTTCAGGTGATATTACTTGGAATTTCGAACCCAACCTTTTATTTAATCAACGTGGGTAGATTGTTCTAATTCCACGTGCGATGTCTTTAAATATCTCACTTAACAGTTAATTAACCTTAGTAACTCAACTCTCCAAGTTTTTCTTCCCTCTATTATGGCCAGGTATTCGACTCACAGCTCTTTAGGATTACCCCAAGAAACATGGCTAATCTAAGAAGTGACTGTACTCAAAGATTTCTGAGTTCAATACCTGGCCACTGTAGAGGGAAAAAAAACTTGGATAGTTGAGTAACTAAGGTGAATTAACTGTTAACTGAGATATAAAAAATGGAGGACATGGCACGTGGAATTAGAAGAATTTATCCGTGGACTAAAAGGATTCGGTTCGAAATTCCAACGTATATCGTCTGAAGAAGGTAAGTGCGTACAACAGCCGAAACGTCGTGAATATGGCAATAAAAATGAGGACACCAGTTCGAACGATATAAATAGTCTAAATAATTATAATATCTCATCTCAGAAATATCGACAGATCCTGAAGAAGGCCGTAGCGTACAACGGCCGAAACCTCGTGAATATGGCAACGAAGATGATGACAACAGTCAAAACAATATGAATAGTCTAAATAATTACAATACCTCATCTCAGAAATATAGACAAATCCTGAAGAAGGCCGGAGCGTACAACGACCGAAACGTCATCAATATTGCAACAAAGATGAGGACAACATTTCTGAGATGGGGTTTGGTAACTATTTACAGTATTTATATTGTTCGCACTGTTGTCCTTATCTTTACTGCCGTCTTCACGACGTTTCTGCCGTTGTACGCTCCGGCCTTCTTCAGGTGATATCCATTGGAATTTCGAATCCAACCTTTTATTTAATCAACGTAGGTGGATTGTTCTAATTCCACGAGCAATGTCTTTGAATAGCTCAGTTTCAGTTAATTCACCTTAGTAACTCAACTCTCCAAGTTTTTTGTTTCCCTCTGCCCTGGCCAAGTATTGAACTCACAATTATTTGGGTCAAGTCACTTTTTGGAACCTGCAACCAACGTTTCTATCCAATGGACTATCATTTTAAATAGGGATCTTGTCAAGGCGATACTAAGAATGATAATTTCGGTTTCAATATCATACTTATTATAAAACCCAGAGATGTGTGTGTGTGTGTGTGTGTGTGTGTGTGTGTGTGTGTGTGTGTGCGCGCGAGTGTGTGTGTGTGTACTTTTATATATTGGATCGGATTTCCTACATTTTTCAACCGATTCCAACAAAACTTCACAGGACTACGTAAAATTACCTTGCGGTGATTCTGACAGCGCCCAAAATTGGGAAAAACACAATTGTTTTTGCACGAAATCAATTTGAAAACATGATTAAGAGGCATCGCGAGAATGAAAGGTGGGGCAACTCATATCAAGTTATACTTATTATAAAACCCAGGTTGTGTGTGTGTGTGTGTGTGTGTGTGTGTGTGTGTGTGTGTGTGTGTGTGTGTGTGTGCGTGTGTGTTCGTTTATATATGGGATCGGATTTCCTACATTTTTTAACCGATTTCAACAAAACTTCACTTTTTTTTGGCAGGTAGTGTTTCTTATTGTCTTGCACACTTTTTTCTTTATTTTTACATTCAGAATGCTTTAAAAATTCCATTTACAAGACAATTGTTTATAATAAAATTCTATTCAATCGGTAGACTCATAACGATTGAAAACAATGTTTTTGTTTGAGTTTGGGTTTGATCAATTCAAAAAAAAAAAAAAAAAAAAACTAATTAAGACATGCGTGTCCGTCAACCTTAAACAATAATCTTTGTCAATTTTATTTTTCAGTCATTATGATGGTCGATACTTGATCTATCTCTTACTGTTACATCCCCGGGCAACGCCGGACTCTACTGCTACTCTGCGATAAGGAGTTATAATTATTTACACTACTTACATTCGGACTATCGCCCTCATCTGTGTATATTAACCAGACGCCCCTGCGGACGAGTTGTGACACAATGTGGGGAATCTGAGCGCGTACACTCGGGCCAAGGACAAATATTCCCCGATCCCCCGTAACCGTCGTTTGCGCTCGCCTCGGTGGAGAGCACAGATCCCTCTCTAATGCAATGAAAGCGTGCAGCCTAGGACAGATTTTTCGTAGAGTTAGGCACCTCACAGTGTAATTTTTCTCAGCTTTGCCGCTGTCCTCCGACGGAGCCGCAACTGTGTCGCACTCTGCCCGAAGACAGAGCCGCAACTGAGTCGCACTCTGCCCGAAGACAGAGCCGCACTGAGTCGCACTCTGCCCGAAGACAGAGCCGCAACTGAGTCGCACTCTGCCCGAAGACAGAGCCGCAACTGAGTCGCCCTCTGCCCGAAGACAGAGCCGCAACTGAGAGATAATAAAACCTACCCGGCATGTGTCAGATACGTATTCCGAAAAATTAGTACTACTTCGGAGGTATTTAAAAACATTTGTGCTGTGTATACGGATGCAGTCTTCCCTAGTACACGCCAGATGATTACAGTACCCGACATGTGCCAGGTAAATTGATATTTATCCTGGCTCCCTACTGCTGACGAGTTATGACACAAAATTACCTGAACCTGAGCGCGTATATTCGGGCCAAGGTCATGTTCTCAAATAACCTCGTCAGATCGAGACTTTCATATGGATGCCATGCACAGCGCCAAATTCGTTCAGAAATACCTAAATTGTCGGCTGTATACATCCACTTTCTAAGACAAGTGGTGAAAAAACGGCTTTGAGTGAGTAAAGCCGGTAGGTCTTTGCAAGGACCACCCTTCTTCGAACCACGAGGAGTGACACTACAGAATCACGAAGAACTGTACAAGATAAGAGCAACCACATTACTTCCAACAGCAGCAATAACTAAAATGGATAGCTCATATAGCTCGAACAGAAATTAAGGACATAATCAGGATGTTGATATTCCACACTACTTCAAGTAAAAAGTTAGCAAGGAAACCCCTGTCAATACTGTAAAGAGCGATAATAGCTACTGGACTTGAGAAACCCATTTTCCGGAAAAATTGTTTTAAGAAAAAGATTTTATAAATTTTAACCGAGAGCAGATTTGGCTGCTGGGTCAATAAATGTGAAGCTTTCCTTATAAGGAAACGGTTAATATTAGAATTATTATTAGAGATAAGTAAAACAGATACTACACTTTGATTCCATTTCGATAACCACAAGTGGAGAGAAACATAACTTAAGTAGCTCTGGCTACTCTGTCAATGAATGCCGAATGTTTCCTCTTAAGGAAACATCTCATATTGCCATTACCATATAAATAAGTATTTGTTGATTGTCATCATTTTTGTCTGTATCAAAGATGGACACCATGACAGTTTGACGTATGCTGTCAGCATAGTTGATGACTTTGTCAACTTGGGATGTCATCGTTTACAAGGTCATCTTGTTCTTCCTCGAAAAGGATGTCATCTTCACAGCTGTCCACGCCTGTCTTATGCCTCTACAAAAAAGTAGCCACTGGAATGTGTTTACTGATATAATTTCTTTCTCTCCTCCTGTGAGTTTTTCTTTCGTCGCAGTCTTCTTCCATTTTTTTTTATTTTTATTTATTTACTTTTTTTTGCGTGAACGAACATGACCATGCGTTTGCTCTAAGTACTTCGTAAATTTTGTTTTTCAAAGCAACATGTAAATTATAAAAAAACCTTTTGTATTTCGTCGATACGAACCGGACAAATTAAGTTAAACCTGATAGAGATCTTAAAATGGAAATGCGCATTGCACACAAGAGGTATTTTTTTTCACAGAACTTCGTAACCCAAAGCTTAGGATTCATATTATGCACGAATAAGCATCTTACACAAGACGGTAGGTTTCATATCGGTGGTGCAATGTGTATGCGTGCCTTCCCTTTTAAAAAAAATAGAGAAATAATCACAGGAGGGCTGAAAAAGGCCAGATTGAAAGCGTATCTTTTATTTTCTACTGCGCTAGAGTTTTGAATGAAAGTGGCGTTGGAATAAGCGGGGGCGTTAGAATAAGCAGGGGTGTTGGAATAAATGGGGGTGTCGGAATAGGTGGAGGTTGGTATTAACGGCGGTGTTGGAATAAGAGAAAGTGTTGGAATTATCGGTGGAGGTCAATTCTAAAAAGCGGGAAGTTGGAATAAGCGGAGGTGGTGGAATAAGCGGGGATCTTGAAATAAAATGGGTGTTGGAATAAGCGGATGTAGCGAAATAAGCGGGGATGTTGAAATAAAAGCGGTGTTGGAATAAGCAGATGTGGCAGAATAGGCGGGGATGTTGAAATAAAAGGGGTGTTGGAACAAGCGGATTTGGCGGAATAAGCGGGGATGTTGAAACAAAAGAGATGTTGGAATAAGCTGATGTGGCGAAATAAGCGAGGATGTTGAAATAAAAAGGGATGTTGGAATAAGCAGATGTGGCGGAATAAGCGGGGATGTTGAAATAAAAGGCACGTTGGAATAAGCAGATGTGGCGAAATAAGCGGGGATGTTGAAATAAAAGGGGTGTTGGAATAAGCGGATGTAGCGAAATAAGCGGGGATGTTGAAATAAAAGGGGTGTTGGAATAAGCGGATGTAGCGAAATAAGCGGGGATGTTGAAATAAAAGGTGTGATGGAATAAGCGGATATGACGAAATAAGCGGGGATGTTGAAATAAAAGGGGTGATGGAATAAGCGGATATGACAAAATAAGCTGGGATGTTGAAATAAAAGAGGTGTTGGAATAAGCGGATGTGGCGGAATAAGCGGGTATGTTGAAATAAAAGGGGTGTTGGAATAAGCTGATGTGGCGGAATAAGCGGGGATGTTGAAATAAAAGGGATGTTGGAATAAGCGGATGTGGCGAAATAAGCGAGGATGGTGAAATAAAAAGGGTGTTGGAAGAGGCAGATGTGGCGGAATAAGCGGGGATGTGGAAATAAAAGGGATGTTGGAATAAGCGGATATGACGAAATAAGCGGGGATGTTGAAACAAAAGAGATGTTGGAATAAGCGGATGTGGCGAAATAAGCGGGGATGTTGAAATAAAAGGGGTGATGGAATAAGCGGATATGACGAAATAAGCGGGGATGTTGAAATAAAAGGGGTGATGGAATAAGCGGATATGACAAAATAAGCGGGGATGTTGAAATCAAAGGGGTGTTGGAATAAGCGGATGTGGCGGAATAAGCGGGGATGTTGAAATAAAAGGGATGTTGGAATAAGCGGATGTGGCGGAATAAGCGGGGATGTGGAAATAAAAAGGGTGTTGGAAGAGGCAGATGTGGTGGAATAAGCGGGGATGTTGAAATAAAAGGGGTGTTGGAATAAGCGGATATGGCGTAATAAGCTGGGTTGTCGAAATAAAAGGGGTGTTGGAATAAGCGGAGGTGGCGGAATAAGCGGAAGTGGCGGAATAAAAGGGGTGTTGTTACATGCGGAGCTGGTGAAAATAATCGGGGTTGTGATGGAATAAGCGGAGGTGGTGGAATAATGTTAAAATAAAAGGGGTGTTGGAATTAGCGGAGGTGACAAATTCTAAAAAGCAGCTAGTTGGAATAATCGGGGTATTGGAATAAGCATGCGGCGTTCAAATTATAAAAAACAGAATAAGCAAGCGGTTGAATTTTTTTCAAAATCTAATAAGCGGGGTGTTGGAATAAATGGGGATTGCAATAATTGGTGTCGGAACGGGATAAGCGGGTTGGCTTGCGATAAGTGGGGTGAGTGGTAACTTTCAAATTTTAAAAGCGGTTGCTTCAGATAAGTGATGTTGGTGGGAATCTTTTCAAAATCTAAAATGCAGGTAGGGTGTAGGATAATCGGAGGTAAAATATGCGTGGGTGTCATTTTTTTTTTTTTCAAAATCGAAAATGTGGGGTAGTTGTGAAAATTTTAAGATAGGTAGAATTATTATTTACACTGTTTACATTTGGATTATTTTCCTCATCATTGTTGTTGTTAACACGTGGTAACAACAAAGATGAGGACAATAGTCCGAATATAAATAGCGTACTTTAAATAACGATAACTCCTCATCCCAGAAATTCAGTTAGAATTTAGTTTATTTGTTTCAAGATTCGGTATGTTAACATGTATTGCTAGCGCAGATACCGATCGACTAGGGCGGCTAGGTCCCTATTGCAGACGCTTGCTCAGGCGCATTTCAACGGCCACAGTGCCCACCTGTGGTTTATACAGTAACTCTGCTGAGCAGACATTAGACGGAAGGAAATGTGTCTATAACGGAAATCAAAAGAAATAATAATAATAATAAGAGTGGACCAATATCTGCACTAGAAAACATGCAACTTCTACGGGAAGGAAACTGAAAGAAACTGGTATGAACACCACCCAGACCCGGTTACGGAGATAGGACCTGTTACAAGTCTATGGGACTACACAATACACACTGACAGAACAATCAAAGCCAACCGCCCAGACATTGTTATTAGAGATCACAAACAAAAACGGCGCCTCCTTATAGATATGGCAGTCCCTGCTGACTGCAATGTTTCTTTGAAGATATTCAAAAAGCTGTCAAAATACAATGACCTTGAAACAGAAATCTCAAAAATGTGGCACATGGGAACATCAATAATCCCTGTTGTAGTTGGAGCCCTAAGACTGGTTGGAAAAGATTGCAGTAGACTAATTGAAGGGATTCCTGGAAGTCCATGCCTCAAGGAGATACAGAAAATTGTTCTCACAAGTACAGCCCACACTTTACGAAGGGCTTTATCTATGTAATTCTTTTTTTTTTTTAGTCAGTGGAAAGTGTCATGATGCCATTTCTAACCTTAGGTCTCTGGGCGGGACCCGGAAAGAAATGTGTAAACGCCAGAAATCAAAGAAAATAAAAATAATAATAATAATAATAAAGCTATCAAAATACAAGGGCCTTGAAATCGAAATCTCAAAAATGTGGCACATGGGAACATCAACAATCCCCGTTGTAGTTGGAGCCCTAGGATTGGTTGGAAAAGATTCCAGTAGACTAATTGAAGGGATTCCTGGAAGTCCATGCCTCAAAGAGATACAAAAAATTGTTCTCTCGAGTGCAGCCCACACTTTACGAAGGGCTTTATCTATGTTAATTTTTTTTTCCAGTGGAAAATATCATGATGCCATTTCTAACCTTAGGTTAGGGACCCAGAAAGAAATGAGTGCACCTCAGAATTCAAAGGAAATAAAATAAAGATAATAATAATAATAATAATAATAAGAAGAAGAAGAAGAAGAAAGAAGAAAAAAATGATCAGTGGAAAATGTCAAGATGCCATTTCTGAACTTAGGTCTCTGGTTGCGACCCGGAAGGAAATGTGTCTATAACAGAAATCAAAGGAAATAATAATAATAATTTTTTAATAATAAGAAAACAAGAAAATACCAGTGGTAATAGGTGCACTTGGAATTATAAAAAAAATGGAACAAAACAAATGAAAGAATCCCTGAAACCCCAGCTTAAGAGACATACAGAAAATTGTCTTTTACAGAACACTAAGGAGAAGGTCTATGTAACGCTAGCAACTTCATCGGAGATAAAAAAAAAAAAAAAAATTAAAATGAAATGGCTATAATAACACACCACGAAAGGTCTTTCCGCAGAAGGTAAATAAGAAATCGAATGATGATGATGATGACAATAATAATAATAATAATAATAATAATAATATCTCCGCGCCTAAAATAAACAGTTTTCTTTCAATATCGCTTATGAAACGTTAAAAAAGATTTATAATAACTGGGTATCACGTAAGTCAAAGTGCTTCTAGGAAAGAAAATTTTATTACGTAAATTTTTTATTTATTCCCAAAATATCTCGTTCCATTTTTGTTTTAAATGCAATGTAAAAAAAAACAAAAAAAAAAACAAACGATTATTTACTTAAATTCAACATTTTTTGGCTCTTTAAACGATTCTCCGACATGCCTATTTGAGAAAAATGCCTACCTCACGAACTATTAAGACTCCCACTTTGTATTATTGAGCTTGTCGGATTACCTCCTCCTTCTGATTTGAACCAGCAGAGGAACAGGTCTTTTCGACCTTGACCTCTCATTCATACTCCTCACACACTGTTAACACGTCAGAGGGACATGCAAATCCCCATTTTTAGTTAGGCTATATTACAAACCTAGACAGGCATATACATCTAGTCATTTTAGACCATAGTTATCTTTGGCTAACCTTGTAGTATTTTTTATAGAGACTTAGCCAATTTCTCTTGCTGGTCCCCTCGACAACAAGACAGTGATTTCTCCCTAGATTCTTGGGGCTGTCGGCGGCCGCAACGGTCGTCTCATGCAGGCCCTTGGCCTTCATTGGCCAAGGGCGCCGATCTACGGGCGATTGTATTAAGTTACGCTCCCATTTCTTTTTGTCTGCTAACGAGTTGGGAACTAGATTCTCTCTTCCTTCCCAACACGTCAAGTTGGCATCCAATAATGACAAACAACGTCGGCAACACGAACTGCTGCAACAAGTTGGCACCCCGGCAACGACTCAGCTTCAACAACCAACAAAAGATCATCCTGGATCAACATCAACAACCACCAAGCGATCATCCTAGCAACAACCCACATCAGCTTCAACCCCCAACAACGATGATCCTAACTACCAACACCAACCTCGACCATCAATGCCTGCACTAAAACATTTTTCCAGCTCACTCCTTGCAGCATCCATTTCACTCCTGCAAATCCAGCACTCCTGCAGCATCCCATCCACCCTGCAGCTTCCTTACTTATGCAGCTTCCGGCTCGCTCCTGCATATATATGCAATATATATTTCCAGCTATATGCAGTATCCAGCACTCCTCAGCATCTAGCACCTCCACCGTTAGAGACCATCTTCATATTTCCTTTTAGAATAAACCTGCTATAGGAATATATCCTCGTTCTGTCGTCCATATTGTTTCACGGTCCAATTTAACGGACTTTAGCGGGCTTCAAACCTCGTTCACCCCTTTCCGTGAACGGGGCCACTGGACCTAATAAAACAAAAATCAGACTGGGTTTGACCTTTGCGCGTCTCTCTTAAAGCCCGTTATGTCAAATATACAAATCGGCGCGTCTCACAGTAAAACAAGTTGACACATTTTGTAACATTTTAGAATGTCGACAGGCATCCATCTGATTTTTTTTTATCTTCTATTTAGCAGTCGACGGTCTGACGCTAGGCAGAAAGCCGGATGTAATTTAACGGGGTACACGTTAGCGGATTCTCTAACTTGTTAGGTTGGGTCATAAACAATAACGATTTTGTCAACCACGTAATTTTCATTTAAAAATGTATGACGATAAAAAAGAGAAAATAGCAAGCCATATAATAGGGAGATAGGAGGTTTTCAGGGGCGTAGAACCACCTCTTAACTGTTGTTCCTAGATCCTTCCTGACCTGGAGTGGTAGAACCTATTAGGGTCCCAGCTAGGGGTAAAATAGTACCCCAAAACAAAGATTAATACACATTTTATAATAAAATAAAATACAAATGGCAAAATACAATGAATACATCAACATATATATATATATATACAAATTCTCCGATTTAACCAAATAGAAGACAATATTTATGAATAAAAATGACAATAGGAAAACTGGTAATTGTTGACGCGTTTCGTCCAATTTGGACTTTTCAAAGCAAAATACGAAAAAAATTAAATGAACAAAGGAACTAATAAAAACAAAACAGAATGTACCTAGCAACTAATACTAAGATCTTCAAACAATAATAGCACTAATATTTCTGAAGCAGGCATTTATAAAATAAACTTAAAACTGTTCCTCCCAATATATTGGAGAAACAAGTAGAAGTTTGAAAAAACGCATTTATGAGCATCAAAAGAGACCTCAAAAAACAATTTTAGCTAATACAATAGTCATACATAGAAATAAATTCAACCACAATTTTGATTTTAAAAATACATACACTCATAAAAAAAAAATAACTCAGTTCAGAAGGAAAAAAAATAAGAGTGCCGCCATAGAAAATTACCCAATTCTTTGTTGTGGGTTGTTTCGAATCCACAATAAAAAAAATTGTTGAGGGTAGATGTTTTCCAAGAAGAAACAATAAGAAATAAAATAATAATCTGGTATTTGTTTAGAGTTTAACCCTTTAGCCTTCAACCCACTCAAATCTGCCCAGTAAATATCAGCTCTCAACCTGCTATAACCTGACCCATGCATACTCTGCTATAATATATGATGATATCAGTGCAAATAGCACAGGAGATTCTGCTAATAATGTGACCTTAACAGCCAATATTTATGAGGCGGGTTTGGGCATGGTGAATTATAAAGAGTTATTTACTAAAAAAAGACGAAGCCTGTTTAAAAAATTTCATTAACAAAAAAAGATAATCATTAATACAAGAGTTTTCTCTCATTGGTTCTAGTCAGCATATCTCTCCCTTGACAATTAGTCCAATCACCTTCTGTCCCAAAATAAAAAAAAAATAGTAAGGTGACTTCATGTTACCAATCTCAGGGAGGCGATCTCAGCGTGCAACACATTTATAAAGTGTCTGAAAACCAAGTTGACCCAATCTTTGTGACTGAAATTGTATATATTTTAACTATTTGAAAGCCGTCGATGGTTGTGCGAGCACGAAGTCACAAGTCATCGTGACCGAGGCTTTGGGCGTGCTGGCCTTGTTAAAGCTGTTGATTTCGCCAGATAATACTCCCTCTCCGAGAAATTGTAATTAAGGTCTGCTCAGCATAGTTGCAGTATAAGCCCTGTGGGTGTTGAGCAAAAACAAATGTGCCTGAGCATGCGTCTGCAACAGGGATTCGCTAGCCACCTTTGTAGACAGGCGTCCTTGGATACGAGTGGCCAGCTATAAGAATAGCATTAGGAAAAGTACGATTCCCACGTCTATTCCCACAAGCTATGGGTAAAATAGTAAAACAGACTGCCATATAGCCTTGTTTGACAACTAATCTAGGATAAGGAAAATGCTGAATTCAAACCACCTGCTACATTGTAGGTCCTGCCTTGTTAACTTCTAAGGGGAGGAATGGGGTAACCTCAACATCCCCGGTGCAAAAGGAACCGGCAAGCCTTTGAACTATTCTACCTTAAATGTCACTCATGAACCACGGATGGAGGGGAGTGGTGATTCCAGCAGTGGCGCAAGATACGCTAACTGAATAACTGAATGATCTTTGGTGCTTATTGGCTCGATAAAACCATTTGCTTTGATCGAAGGAAGTGTTATTTTTCGCAATGTTGATAATCAGTCAACGTGGTAATGTAAATTAAATTTGTTAAATTCTCTTTGATTTCAGATCGAAAAAAAGAAAATCAGAGCTAAGAAAAAAAAAAAAAAAAAAACAATACGAAGCCCAACTAAAAACCGTAAAAAAAAATGTCTGCCTCCATTGGGCAATGTAAACATTTGCAGACGACATGATTTATTGGCTGAATGTCAGAACCGATTGTTTTCCTTCAGTTGTTCTTACCTCAATTGGGAATTTCAGGCCTCTGAGCAGTTCTTCGAGTAAGAAACCAATGGCAAAATACCAAAAAAGCAGAAGAAAGAAAGAAAGAAAGAAAGAAAGAAAGAAAGAAAGAAAGAAAAAGGAAGAAAGGAAGAAAGAAAGAAAGAAAAGACAAAAGAAAAACCAATAAATATGGTGACGCAAGTCTGTCCGTGTTTCCATGACGACAATGAATATGATCCCCAGTCTGCATAAGATATTGTTTTTTTTTTTTCCGTTGTGGTTGACGTTATTATTGCGGAGGTAGTGTTGGTGTGGGTTATAAATTTTTCTTCTCCTCTTTGACGCCAGTTGCCACTTTTTATCGCTCTTCGTCGCTATTATCGTTTTTTTCATTTTTAACCAACATATCTCCTTCGTCCTTCTCTTTCTCATCGACGTTATTATTAAGTAATTCATCATCATCATCGTCATCATCATCTTCTTCTTCTTCTTTTTCTTCTTCAACACGTTGACCTTTCTTCCTTCCTTCAAGAATCTATCTACATTCAAGAACGTATGTACATTCTTCTTCAACACATTTTCCTTCTTCTTCTTCTTCTTCTTCTTCTTCTTCTTCTTCTTCTTCTTCAATACGTTGACCTTTTCTTTTCAAGAACCTATCTGCATCCAAGAACGTATCTACATTCTTCTTCTTCTTCTTCTTCTTCTTCTTTGTGATCAGTCTCTTTCTCCTGTTCCTTTATTTTATCCATTTTTTTCTTTCAAAGCATCACATTATTACCATTTTATCATCAACATTGCCATTTTTACTCGTTTTTCTTTCTTTTCTTTCAACTCATCTAAACCGTTTTCTTTTTTCTTTTTCTTCAGCTATTATCCTATTTCTCCTCTTCTTCTTATTCTTCTTCTTCTTCTTCTTCTTTCATAACGCTTCTTCTTTTCACATTTATTCCTCTACAAAAGAAAAATGGCTCATCAACGCCGTGTCACGACTACGCAAATCCTCCCGCTTTGAAGTATTTGTGTAAAATGTGCTAATTCGTGATGCGGAGTAACACTGCAGATGTTGTAATCTTTCGCTGCAACACACGCGGAGTGATATCAAAGATTCTTACGCAATCTCATTTTACTCACTTATATCATCATGATCATTTTTTTTTTTTTATCATGATATAAAAGTCTAACATTTTTCCCTCTTTTGATGAACTGAACATTAGCAAACGAGTTGCCTGGCGATTTGCCTTAAAAAGGGAATCAGCCGCTGAATACCGAACGCTTATTAATCGGGTATTTCATATTTTGTTTATGGAAATCAGTATTTATTCGACACCCGACCGACAGGAAGGAATAATGCCTTGGTGATATTTGTACATGACAAAACATCACAAAAACATTAGCCGAAAGCATCACTGTATATAAAAAGCAAGCTAACGACACAGGTTAGCATCTACAAGACATACAGGTGTGAAAATATCCTGTATTAGATCAGTAATATGACAGAATGACACCTGAAATTTGTTATCATAATTCCTTTTAAACTACTACTACTGATTGCACTTCTAGTACTACTAAGAATAACTTATATAGCTGACTACTCATATTTGAGGACACCAGTCTAGTAGCCAATCCCTATTGCAGACGCTTGCTCAGGCGCATGTGTTTATACTGCACACCTTAGTTACAGTTTCTAGTATGATCACCAATTTGAACAAGGCCAGAACGCTAAAGCCCTCGGTGACTTGTGACTTCTGTCTACCCAATTCACTCACAAGGCTTGGGTCAACTCGTTGTATGGTTTTCAGGCACGCTGGAATCGAACCCACCAGTCCGATAACACCAGGAAGTCACAAATCGACCATAGTGAGATTCGAACTCGGGTCTCATGGTTTAACCACCCGGCCACGTGCCCATATAATAATAATAATAATAATAATAATAATAATAATAATAATATATTATATTATTATATATCTTGATGCTACACCACATATGGCTCTCATGGCTTAATTGATTTGAGGTGTTAAAATGCACATGTTTTGTCTTGGTGAATTAAGGAAAGTAAAGTCATGATGCTACACTAGGCGCACTATCACATAGACCTTGGACTTTCTCTAAGGTCAATGGACCAACTTCAGAAAATAAGACCACAGACACGTTCTGAAGAAGCGGGCATCAGTTATCTGTTCAGCAACGAATACCATTTTGTAAGTCGGCCCCGGTGCGCGCGCTCAGGCTCTCCAAATTAAATTGACCGCATGTCTCCTCCTGCCTGCGTGGGACGACAAGTAGATATCGAATACTTTCTGGTAAGTCGGCCCGGGTGCGCGCGTTCGGGCTCTCCAAATTAAATTGACCTTATGTCTCCTCCCGCCTTCGTGGGACGACAAGTAGATATCGAATACCTTCTGGTAAATCGGCCCGGGTGCGCGCGTTCGGGCTCTCCAAATTAAATTGACCTTATGTCTCCTCCTGCCTGCGTGGGACGACAAGTTGATATCGAATACCTTCTGGTAAGTCATGCTACACATTCTACGTAGACGAGAACAGCCGTTCTCACCAACCGAAAATAGGTTACGATAAACACCCCGTTTAATACCCCATTTTTTGATTGATATATTTGTTTTTTACTGTTTGTCAATCCTTTGTGGGTTATTTAAATCTGGAATATAATGTACTGATTATAACAACAATTCTTTTTTTTACGACTGAAGATTGCATTAACCATTTATTAAATAACAATGACGTCTTACTATTTATCCCATAGTTGTTGGGGAGAAAGATAAAGGATGTCATAAAGGATTAAGAAACCGTAAAAAAACAATTCCGATTCTTGTAAATAAAACTTGTTTAAAAGAATGTTTTTGCATAAACAAGCGTTCCAATGTAAGGGAGATGATCATAAATACATTCATGCATACAACACTAATATAATATAATATAATAGCATCATCTACATGCAAAAAAAGGCTAAAAATAATGGAAACCTTATTAATAAAAACAAAAAACCAACACATAATAATATTATCTTTGAACATAGACACATCTTGACTGTGTTTTGAAAAATGGAAACATTTTATAAGACATACATACAACAAACTATTTCTTATTTAACAGTTAAAATATTTAATCCTTGAAAATGGCTAAATGTATAGCCGAAAACGCTCGGATAAAAAGAACATTCGGACAGTTTTTATATAATTTATCATCCGAAAATAAAAAAAAAAATTAGATCGCATGAGAAATTGTATAAAAAACTAAATAAAAGCACCTTTTCAATGAAAATGTATTCAATGAAATGTGCATGAAAGATGGATTGCTGCCTAAATACATACATATATATATATATATATATATATATATATATATATATATATATATATATATATAAAAAAATTGGTAGAAAAAATGCAAATGGTATTAAAATGTTTCTTGAATGCATTTCAAAACGTTGTTGTTACACTCAAAATACATTTTGAGAAAAAAAAAATAAATCAAAAACTGCAACGGATAAATTAAAATTTTTTAAATAATTGTCACGGAGTGCGATCAGGCGTCTTTTTAAAAATCACCATGACAACATTCGCTCCTGAGGATGATCTTGGGGGAGATCGAAAGGTCTGAGGCAAGAAAGTAACTGCGGTTCTTCCCTTGACGGATTTCATCTTTACACCAAGAAAGTGATTAGAGAACTAGATAGGATTATTTCAAAAATAAATAGACATAATATATCTATATTATTCAATGAAACATGTTTGAATATATATCTATATAAATAAATGCGAATGTCAGTGTGTCACACTTTTTCAACTTTATTCTTAGAGACCATAGCCCAACATATCATACCATATTGGAATCAGACCGACTCCGTGAGCAAATTAAAAACATTCCGCAATCCTGAAATTTTGGATTCCCAAGTTTTCATTACTGCATTTGTTTTCGGTGATTTTTTACGTGAATTTTTTGCGACGAATTTTTTTTTTCTTTTGTCTGTATGATAACAATTTTTATAACTTGGAAATAAATTTGGGAATAATTGAAATTAATTGTGAAGATTTCAAAAGTCGTAACACTATCATTTTTTACGACCCACCCAGTCTTCTCGCGTTCGGCGTCCTGCCGGACAAAGAGAAACGTTGTCAATACCTAACGTACCTACATAAACAGGTAAGTTGATATCCACGGATAATTAGTTGGGAACGAATTGTCCCATTTACAGATCATTTTTAAGAGGTAACAGCTGCAGTCTGCAAATGCGAATCGCTTCGGAGCGATTCAGTGACGCTGTGACTATTACGTCAGAATTCAGTAAATACCGCCATGAAACCTTGTAACCTATTCTCAGGAAGAAATGTCCCTTCCCGTCAGGCAACAGCTGTTGATTATTTCATAAAAAATCACCGTATAATTTTGCTTCATTATGTTGATTATCAAATCAAATTATTTGTCAACTCTGTCTACAATCATCATCCTAATATTATAATTCAGATTGTTCCTTCGTTATCACGAACATTACGACCTACTAGTACCTCATAAATAATGGAATATTCCGTTTTGATCGAAAGGAAAGACAGAAAAGACATACCAGAGGCGCTTTTTAGAAAGAAAGAAAGAAAGAAAGAAAGACGCCCTACCATTACCTCCTAAATAATGGAATATTCCGTTTTGTTCGCTAGGAAAGACAGAAAAGACATACCAGAGACGTTGTTTAGAAAGAAAGAAAGAAAGAAAGAAAGAAAAAAAGAAAGAAAGAAAGACACATTACCGATACCTCATAAATAATGGAATATTCCGTTTTGATCGCTAGGAAAGACAGAAAAGGCATACCAGAGACGTTGTTTAGAAAGAAAGAAAGAAAGAAAGAAAGAAAGAAAGAAAGACGCCCTACCAATACCTCATAAATAATGGAATATTCCGTTTTGATCGCGAGGAAAGTTTCGCTTAGAAATGTTTCTCTTTTAGAAAATCTAGGTAAAAACACTTTTTTTTTTTTACATCTTTTAACCCCATTTATTTCATTTTATGAAATTTCGAGAATTTCATTTTTATATGTTTATATTAATTATAAGCAGAAGTCCTTGGAGAATTTAAATCATCATTTTCGTTTTGTAAAACAGGATCCCCAGTCATCGAAAATCTGAATCGTAAAATAAAAATGCAATGAAATTACATTATTTAATTAGAAAAGCCTTTAATTGCTTATATGAACAAGATATATCATG